GGTTTCATTGGTGTCCGTGGGAGAGGACATTAAACTGGCATTGGATGAAATTTCAGGCTGTTCATGGTGAGAAAGACAGCAATACGTGGAAAGGCTTGCGATAGCACCATGCGAAGGAATATTTACAAACTGGGAAGGAATACAAGTAAACTGGCATTGTTAAAAAATTATTTAGAAGCTGGACCGGTGTACCGTTATGAATAACAATAGGACCATCAGCTACCAAGATGTTGACGTGAAAAGGCCGTGAAACCGCTTTGAGCTAATCCGCTCCCAAGCTGATCAACTTCCCACCGTGAAAACGGGCTTACATTGCCTTAACAAAAATTTCACGGTGATTTAATGGTAAAACTGCATTTTCACAGTGTTGAAAGTTCATAGTGTATGTGGACCCATCTAATTTCATCCATGGACGGAGACAAGCACACATTGGATGAATTTAACTGCTCTTTCAATACTAAGCGACAGAATTATTCTGGAAGCGAAAATAACTGAATACTTTTGAACGTTTGATCGAGGGACCTGGGGAGGGTAACTACACCTGTATGTCTATTGATATGTGTCCCAACAATTTCGGCCAGGATCGTAAAACATCATTATTCTAATCTATGGTGAGGACCGGTGATGAAGTCTCTGAGCATACTGCGCTCGGGAAATTACCTCACTTTCCACGCCGTGATCTTGAACACGTCATGCAGTTCTCATTGTACTTATCACCTCTCACAGATTTTATATCACTGTAATAAAAATACGAATAGGCTGGCATTGGAACTATCTGCCAATTCGACGATAAGTAAGTCATGATTAGTTATGATGTGACAGCTTTTATCTTTTCACTGCAGGGCCTTAACCTTGAGGGCTAAGCCCTTGGCCTTGGTCTTAAGGCTTGCTGGTCAAAGCTTGGCCTTGAGAATCAAAAGCTTTGCTCCAGCATTGGCTTGTTCTCAGACTGAAATTTGTGAAATGGCGTAAAGGATGAGGGATAACTAAAGTTGGAAAATTCATCTTCCATCTTTATTCGAGTTACATTTTCACAATCTGAATTTGAAATTTTTTTATGGATAGGATAGCTGCAATCAATTTGTTTTAATACAAACCTTCAAAACGCACCTTTCTGTCTCATTTACCTTCACTTCCAACTTTTGTTTCACTATTTTCAAAGAGTGTTTCATTGCCTTTTTGTTTTCATTCTAACGAGTATATCGATATTCATGAGCGCAACTGTGATGCTGTCCCGGGAAGAAAGCCTCGATGTAGCATTTAAATGTTAAAAAAATGACTGATAAGAAAATGTGAATAATAATACGAAGAAGCACGTCAAATCAGCATTGCACATAAAAACTGAAAATACACTTTATGGTCTACATGTTGAAAACGAATTAAGCCTGACCGGAAAAGTGTTTGTTCAATCATATCTTCATAGAGGAGTTTGACGTAAAGAGATTCTTGTCACAGGACAATGTGTCTGAAGAGCTATTCACCAAAGAGAAGATCCAGAGCATAAAATAAAAATGTTATTTAGAAGACGGATTGGGATCCTGATTCAAGCTTTGGGTGTCATTTTATGTTAATAAAGAAAATCAAAGAAAGCCCCCTCCCCAAAAACGGAAAAAATGGCGTCATTCACATAACACTAGCATAGAAATCAGACATGTAGACAGGTCAACAGACGTGAGCCGGGGACTTGAACATATTGATGCGCGCTCATTTAAAACTACCAAGGAGCTGTCATTGTTGACGAAAATTTTCATGTTTTGATGTGTATGTTTGTTACGTGATGCACTATAGCAACGTCTTAATCACTCAGTCTTTACACGGAAACATTCTGCGCAGTAAGGTTGATCGTTTGTTATTTGCTTAATATAAACAGCAAAAGTAGCGTCTCTGAAATGGCCTAGTGGTTAAGCTCGCGGTTGTCAAATCCTTAGACAGTGGGTTCGAATCCCAGTGGTGACTTTTTATTTTTCCAACGCTTGCGACAGTCAGTAGCTGTAAGAGACTCTAATTCACCCCGTCAAATACCAACAGTACCTTAGCCTACCGGGTAAGCTCTTCTGCTGGGACTGTTCGTGAAGTCCAGGTGAGTCCAAATAGCTTACACGTACTGAATGTATCGAGCATATGAGAGTGCACATGTAGGAATGACCACGCCGTCATATTGTCCGAGCGCCCTCTTGAGGACACATCAAAATGTTTTGTTTTTAATTTTGAAACCTTTTGAAAAAGATGGCGTCAATAACCAATACTCAGTGAAGGTGATATTCCAATCTCATTTTGCTCAAAATGTTAGTGTTAATACTCACATTTTCTTATCAGTCACTTTGTTTTACAGTTAAATGTTACATCGAGGCTCTCTTCCCGGCATAGCATCACAGTTGCGCTCATGAATATGGAAATACTCGTTAGCATGAAAGCAAAAACAGGCAATGACACACTCTTTGAAAACAGTGGAAAAAAGTGGAAGTAAGGATAACTAAGACAGAAAGGTGCATTTTGAAGGTTTGCATTAAAACAAATCGATTGCATCTATCCTTTCCATGAAAACTTACAAATTCAGACTGCCAAAATCCTACTCAGAAAAAGAGGGGAAATGAATTTTCCGAC